CACCCCTGAAGATCCTGACAGCCAAGACCTATTTGCCCTTACTTAGAAAATCAATATATCTGGACAGTTGTATTCTGAGTCCAAGGTTCACAGAGATCCCTTCTTATTTCTCTGGATTAACCCAAACTTTCTCTGCAAGCAGACTAGTCTTATGATGCCCTTCTGCTTTTGCCACCAATCTTCATCTTAAACATTGTAATATTCTTAATTCTGCCACATTATTGCCCCTGTCTAATGAAGGTAAGCCCCACGACCGGGAGGTACTGGCATCCCACTTCATGACACCACATCCTGATCCAAGGCACATCCCTTTGACTAATTCTGATCTAATTTTGTTTGTGGATGAGTCATATTGTAAAAATGAAAAAGGGAATTTCCAGGCTGGTTATGCTATTACCACCCAATATGAACCACCTGGAAAGGGAAATCTCCCACAAGGTAAACCAGCCCAACAAGGAAGAACTCCACACACCAGACTGTGCCAGCTATCAAGAGGACAAATTTTAATATTTATATGCTGGCCAATACATTGTTGGGTTGTCCATGAATTCGGAATGTTATGGAAACAAAGGGGTTTTCTCATGTCCACTGGGACCCCGATCAAAAATGGACAAGTACATGACCACAACTGCTCTTCTATCTTCTGAAGTTGCTGTCCTCAAATACAGACACACACTAAAAGGACTAAGCCTGACTATTAGGGAAATGCCCCAGTGGACTTTCATGCAGAGACAACAGCAAGAGAATCTGTAAAGGTTGTGGAACATGTGGGGAGAGTCCATTCCGCTTCTACAAAAGAATGACCTCTTATTGCCAGATTTGCCATCCCAATGTCCTTGTGACATGGCAATAGTCTGCTCCTGAATCAGAAAAATTAGGATGGGCAAATAATGGCTATAATTTCAACAGTCAGGGATATGGGAAACCCAAGATGGCCCCTTCGTTCTTCCCAGCCCCTTGGCAAATTCTTTTTTTTTTTATTTTTACATTGCTTCACCCACCATGATGTATTTAAAATAACTCAATTTATAAATAAACATTGGTGGGGAGATTTCTACAACACTGCAAAACAAAAACAAAAACAAAAAACAAAAACCAGTTTATTGTCAATATCTAACCTATCAGGTCCATAGTTCTGGAAAACCTATTTTTGCTCCCAGATGCCTCAAACCTCCTCCCTGTGGACCTTTGGAACACCTGCAGCTGGACTTCATTCATTTGCCACAATTCTGGGATTATCAGTATGTTCCTGTTATTGTTTTTGCATTTTCTAGCTGGCTAAAGTTTTTCCCTGCTGCGAGGCTAATGCCCTCACCATGGCAAAGAAACTGTTAGCAAACATGTCTTCCACTTGGGGTACACCTTCTATAATTTCTAGTGATCAAGATACCCACTTCACTGGGAAAATCATACAAGCTTTAATAAAGGCCTTATAAACATCCTGGAATTATCATTGTCCCTGATACCCTCAATTACTGGCAAAGTTGAAAGAACTAATGGAATTTTCCAACCTAAAATCTCTAAGCTTACTCTACTGGACTCCCCTGGCCTAAGGCACTGCTGCTAGCTCTGTTGCTAATTGACAATATCACCCTTGGAAAATATACACTCACTCCATATGAGATGGTTACCAGTAGGCCAAAGTCTACTGGCATGCAACTTTCTGCTGATTCCCTGCCAGTATGATCCCTTCTGCCCTCATGCCAGTATGACCAGCTACTGTGAGCCTTTAATGTCTAATGCTAAAGCCTACCATCAACAAGTTAAAGAAGGGTTCTCTGACCCCAGTTCAAAGGATCCTGTGGGTTAGTCTGGAGCCTGGTAATTTTGGAAGCACTGTTGCGGAGAGGGGGGAAAAGCAGCTCTCAAGCCACATTGGAAACGACCTTACCAAATGTTCCTGACACTAGAGGCCAAAACCAGAGGGCACTGAGCCTTGCCTACAAATCTCACAGCTAAAGATGGCCCCAACTGACCTCTGGTCCTGTAGAGATGCTAGAGACCTCTAAATTGAATAGACAAGGGAAGACAAGTAGTTCACATCAAGGTGAGCAGCTTCTGCCCAAGGTGCCAGATCAAGACTTCATACTTTAACATGAAATCTTTTTTTCTCCTTTATCTTTCCTCTGGTGACAGCCTGGAAAGATACGCTCTCATGTGTATCTCCCAGGCCATTGAGGAGTGGGGAGATGTCATCTTTCAGATTGCTAGCTTGTCATCAAAGATTCCAATCTGTCCATGATGCTAGAGACCCCCTAGTCCTCTCTGTAACTAACTTCTCTTCTTTTCCTAATGTCACTGCAAACTACAACTGACTCCCCCAGAAGACTCCCACTAATTTCAACGTTTACAGCCAGAACGACCTGTCCCTTGCTTTTATCTTTCTTCAACTATGAGTGTATGTACCCAAGGAAACACAACTACTTATGTAATCCTTGGTACTTTTGCACCCCCATGTTCTTGTGATCATCTAGCTTCTGCTCCCTGCTCTAAGGCATCTCACCAGCAACACCCATCTTTGCAGGGTATTTAGAATGAACGACTCTCTCAGGCTAGGAGATTTTCTTCTGGTGGGTTCTGAAAACCTAACTGACCCCAAGCTGGAGAGGGTGAATGCAATAATCCCTGAGAATGAATTCATTAATAGCACCACCTAAAGGGAATGGTTGTATGTCTTTGAGGCAGTTAACATTCTCCGTTGGCCTATGAATGCCTAGTTGGTGCACAACTGGGCAATGACTCTTAAGTTAATTGTACAGCTAACTTTTTACAAGCAAACTAAGATATCTCATTAGTTGACTCCCTTGAATTTATACCATCGAGATAAAAAAGACCTACCAGGAGGCATTCATGATTCAGGATTTGTGTCTTTTTGGGAGGGCCATGCTTTCCTGGTTAGGAGTTAGTGAAAACAAGATGTGATCAGAAAGCTCTCCCTCACTCTTGAAGATAATGTAGAATCTGTTGCTGATGGCCTAGGCATCCAATAAAGATCTTGAGCCTCTATGGCAAAGTTGTCCTTGGTACTAGAACAGCTCTTGATGATCTTAGAGCTGAACAAGGAGGTGTCTGTGGTGTGGCCAACACTATCTGCTGTGCCAAGATTAGCATTCTGGGAAATTGAAGCTAAATTACATGAGATCACAGAAAAAAACGACTCCTTCCATGGGGCCTTTCTTTGACTTATTTGATTTTGACTGGTTTGGGTCTTGGGACCATGGCTTCAAAGTACACTCCAAACATTGGGAATTATCCTCCTTAGAGCAATCATAATAATCTTCCTGACACACTGTATTCTCTCAAAAGCTTTAAGTGCGTGTTTGTAGCCATTAACCACCAAACAAATGAGTGGACCATCTAAGAAATGAAGAAAATAACCAACTTAACAAGTGTAAACTAGAAACTGTGAACTATGAATATCAAGAAGTTGAACAGGAATATCATGACCTATAGGCACCAGACAAAGAAACAACGAAAACAGTGAATTTCAGAGTGGTAGCTGAGAGTGGTGCTAGTGCCTTAAATTTTGATCACATCTCTCAGTTACCTGGAGAATTGAGAGAATTGTTAAAAACAAAACCACAAGCCCAAAATGATGCCACTTAGATCAAGTTCCCAAATTGGGGTTTAATACCTAATCTAATGACACTTTCAACCTCCACCAGAAATGTTGTCTTAACCAGTCAGCCAGGAATTTTTCAATTAGTGCCAAAAAGTCTACCACATGGGCCCCTCACATCCCCCAAAGAAAGATGAGGTAATCTGCATGATAAGACCCCTTGTCATCTACCCCCCCCACCCTACCAATGGAAAGCCACCTGGCCTGGAATTCATTACTTTCCTTTGCTAATTACTTTCTTTCCCCACCCTCCTTCTACAACAACCTTCCGTTATGTACAGCTCCCTGGGGGCTCTTCTCTGCCTCCTGGATGGGATGGGTGCCCTGCTCATGAGTCATTTAATAAAGCCAGTTAGATCTTCAAATTTTCTCAGTTGGCTTTTATTTCTTTAATAGTACCATCTAGTACCCAGTCCATATTCATATTTTTATGATTGCCTTTAAAAACATCTTTTTTACAGGGGCACCTGGGTGGCTTAATCAGTTAAGTGTCTGACTCTTGATTTTGGTTCAGGTCATAATCTCAGGGTCACAAGATAGAGCCCACGATGGGCTCTGTGCTCAGCAGAGTCTGCTTCCCCTCTCTCTTTGTCCCTCCTCCCTGCCCCTCATACATGCTCTTTCTCTCCCCCCACAAAATAAATAAATAAGTAAATAAATAAATATCTTTTTTACATTTCATTTGATTGCATCAAGTTCGTAAACAAGGTCCACACATTGTATTTGCTGGATGAAGTTCTCAAGCCTCTTTTCATCCTAGAGCAGTCCTTCTAAACTTACCCTCTCCCGCTTTTCTCCCACGTCACTGACTTACTAAAGAAATTAGGTCAGTTATCTATCCTGTGGTTATGACCCACATTTTGGATGTTTGCTTTTCCATGATTTCACGTAACTTGTTCCTCAATCTGCCATATTTTTTGAAAACTGGAAGTCACGGGGCCCATACTGATAGTCACTATAATATCCTATCTTTAGACAAAGCATGCCCTTTCTTGGGAGTGCCTGTATTAGGCAGGCGTGAGTGTGGTATTTTGGTTATGCCGCTTAAAATCTGTGACCTTGGGCAAGTTACCACACCTATCTAAGCCTCCACAGGAAGGAAATATAACAATTCATAACTTGATGAGTTTTATAAAGATAAAATGAGATGATGAGAAGGCAAGGCCCACCCTGTGTTTGATACATACACACACAAGCAGTCACTCAGGGAGCGTCAGCTCTAACAGTGACAAACGATACCTCCGGTCCACATAGCATAGAAATACTCATTCCAATAAAATGCTTATAAAGTACTTGAAAAACTGTATCTCTTTTTTTTTTTTTTTTGACATAACAGGATATGCACAATATTTATCTGTGTCAGTGATTAAGCAATACATACAGCAGAAGTAGGGAGTCCAAGGATTTTTGAAGAATTAATTGTCAGGAATTTTGCTGTACTGTTAAGGGAGCAGAGTCTCCGCTGGGCCGAAAACATGCTGCAGAAAAAAAGAAAAACTTTAAAAGGAAGAAAATATATGATATTTACATCACTATCAGATACTTGCAGCTACCTAAAAGACCATAAGCTTATATAAAATATAAGTAAAAATTGTTGATAGCTGTTTTCTTCCCATATGTAATCTCTCACCACTAGAATCATTCTAATAGAATCCTCCTTATCTTTCAAAAATTTATGAATCTGTCATTTTAAACTAAAGATGTGTAAGGATATTGTAAATTCAAAAAACAAGGCTCTCATTTAGTCAAGGGCATAGAATTACAGTAAGTAAAAGTTTCATTTGTAGCAGCTATAAAAACCAGAATATTTCAATCTAGGAAATACTCAATTTTCATAGTTTCCTGGATAATAGTCACTGGTAAAACAGCACAATTTTTGACAGTAAACTAAAGTTGTTAGAAACAGAATTTAGCAAGTTGTTTGAAAAGGATTATATCAAGTCCTTGACAAATATAAAGAATATATGAGTGAATCTTAGGTTATTTTCATAGATGGTACTTTCTTCAACAATCCTATAGACAGCGAGCAAACTATTTCAATAGATTCCAGTTACATAACAAGCATGCATTCTGAATTACATCTCTACCTATAAAGAAAACTTACCAAAGAAATATGAAATTCTATTACTGTACCGCACTTACAAGTATAAGAAAACCCAGCTTTCTAAAAAACATCCAAATGTATAAGAAGAAACTTCTCATAAGGTCTTACTTACGAGAATGCTGTATCAAGTGGATGGCACTTCCTCCATCTCTGGTAGTTAATTAAACTTTAGAAAAAGAGACATACTCTACGACTCAAAGGAATCCACTGAAGCCAGCTAGCTATGAATCTTTCCAAGTTACCGAAATGTTAAGGCTACAGACAGATTTAAAGGTGAGAAATAATATATTGGATGCTTGTTAAAAGGTTAAATATAAAATCCTGACTTTATCAACAAAATCTCAGCTTCAAGTGACCATCTTTAGCTGTTCTATATCACATCAGCCCTTTAAATTCTCTGCAAAGCACTTTTGTTGCTGTTGTTTGGTTGGTCACTCATTCACTTATTCGATGTTTCATGAACAGGGACCTGATGTGTTTAGTTTACCAATGCATTCTCTGGCATCTGGTAGGCACTTGGTAAATAACAATATTAAATGACTGAATAAATACAGAAAAATCACACTATAAATTAATGATTTAGGTGGACTATTTATGAGGTCTTTTATGAAATATTGATTCCTTTTTAAAGTAAATAATTACCCCTTATGTTGTACGTCTTTCAAGTTGAAGAACAGGTTTTCTTAAATCAAGAAATGCCTAGTCTTCTGTCATTAACTGTTCCGTTCAGAAATAAAATATTAACTAGGTTAGGCAATATGGGTTGTTTTAAGGAAAGATATTACCAAACAACAGGAACAATATCGAAAAATCTTATTTAGTATCACGGAGTTATTTGATTTAGGATAATACAGTTGTTTCCCCCCCACCCCCAGCAAACAAATGTCCATTTATTTAAGTTCAGCCCAATTTCTTAGGTATTCAAGCAAAGTATAAGCAAAATGCTTTCTTGCAAGTAGAAAAATGGGAGAAACCTCTTCTACGTTCTTGAGATAAACTAGGTGAAAAAACAGCATAGGAACCAGAGTACCTCGATTCTAGTCCTTATTCTGATATTTTAAAAAGTTTTCATACATTATATATTAATAAAAATAATTAAAAAGTAGAAGTTTTCTATCCTTGGACAAGTCACTGATTCTTGCTGAACCTCAGTTCCCTCATTTTTCAAAACAGATGAATACACAAACCGTTGATTTGAAGGTCAAGTCAGAAGGGGCTGGTAAGTCAATGGCTGATCATGTGTGAGCTTAGGCACAATTCTTGGGAGATTTCACTCCACACTGGGTGAACCATGCCCTCTGGCCAGCAGGTCTCAGTGCCCATTCTCTATAGGGAGTCAACACTAAATCCATCTGTTTTCATCTGGAAATCCCAAAGCCTAAATTCTGCATCATCTCTAGCTACCTTCAACAGTGTATTACCTCCACGGTACAATGTAATCCCGGCAAGTGACCCAGTTCTTCATTTCTCTGCCACTTTCCATACCTTCCACTGTGTCTTTTGGAACAGATAGGCCATAATCAGCAAATTTCAATGTATCTTTACATTCTCAGCGTGTTTTCCTTGCTTTAACGCCAATCTTATTGTTCTCTGAAGATACCATTTCTATGTTCCTCAGTGCTGGCTTTTGTTTTTATATTCCGCACCTAAGTCTTTTCTGTTGTCCATTTCACCACTTCCAGACTATTAGTTCCCTCATCTGCCTCACTAATGTTATCTCCTGGTCTGCTGATAACTTTCTGTCATTACTAAAGATTTGTGATTAGGCATACAGTTTTCTTCTCAATGCAAAGTACTGTGATCATCCCAGATAATTTTAGTGGCTTCAGAGAGGATCCTCCCAACAGCTGACAATCCCATGTCTGTTGGTCTTCTGCTCCATTCCACCCTAGTCACTTTCCTGCCATTATATCCTGACCCTGCACCTTGCCATTACCTCGGTCTGGTCTAATTCCAAAATAACTAACTGAAACATCCTGCTTTTTGACCATAAGCTATCATCCCTTTCAGTTAATCATTCTATTCTTCAGTATTATCAAGATCTCTAGGAGGCTTCCTCTCCTTTTCCCAGTCAGCCTTCCTATTCCATTATTTTCCAAATTAGATGCCAGTTCTACCACTTTCCTAATGTTCTTGACAATGCCCTACCCACCTGTCTGTCCTTTCACCTGTTTTCAACACTCTAGCCCTGGATGAAGTCTTCCACAGAGTCTGATTTCCCCACGCTGTGGAATGCTGGGGAAAGTCACATAGGACATGTTTGGTTTCACCATAAATTCATGGTCATTAATCTCAAATTGATTCCCAAACTCTCCAGCATTTATGCTATATTTTACAGGGGAAGGATATCACCTCAAAATATCCCACTTTAGAATAAGAATTATTTTGAGCTAAAAGCACTTGAAAAACAGCAAACACAAGAAGAGCAATCTGATTCCTCTCCTTTTTTCTGTAAACAGGAGATAAAATTCCCATGTGAAAAGTGCTCTCCCTGCACAGGAAAAAAGAAACATTCTTACATGGAAAGTTGAAGCTGAGAGAATTCTGTAAACTCAGAACTTGTTAAAATAACTCTTACCTTCCTTTAGCCTCCCCAAATATTTTGGTTACTTTTCCACAATTGCCTCTCCAAGTTCAACCTAGTATAACAACATTTGTTTTTGCCACTGCTTCAGGTCTTCATTTTCTTAGGATTCCTATGTCACGTAGACCTTATATTAAATGTGTGTACTCTCCTTCTGTAATCTTCATTATGGCAGTTCAATTCTCAGGCCCAACTGGAAACCCTAAAAGAACAGGCCATACTTCTCTCCCACAGTCGAGAATGACTATATTTTATTTTTTCCCATACTCCTCTAACGTAAAAGCACTTTATTCCAAGTAGATGACCTTGATTCCTATCACAGAGAAAACAGAAGCTATCAGATTTGCCATTTCAATTTACTCAAATTGAAAACACCAAACCCCCAAATGCTTTCCTTCCCTTCTATTATAATAAAGAAAGTGACCCTCCCACAAAAGGAGAATTCTTCCTCCCGTGACTAACTATATGGAGACCTTGCTCCAATGATTTTTACCCCTTTCTCTGGTATATGCAACATTCCTTGCTTACATCTCTTCTGGTTAAAAAACAATAAATACAAAATATAAACAAAAATTAAAACTCTTGACTCTACGTTCTCCTCCCTGTTGCTCATTTCCTCTTCAAATCAAAACTTTCCAGTTACCTTCTCGTGAGAGCAAAGCTTTTAAAACTTTATGTTCTCAGTTGTCTTCTTTTCCTCAATCTATACTCTTCAACCTTGAGCCAACTGACTTTTGTACCCAGGACTCCACAGACACAGCTCTTGTTCAAGTCAGCTTTGACCTTCATACTGTTAAGTCCAGTGAACATCTGGCAATCCTCTCACTTCCCTTGAGCTCCCTACAGTTTTAGATCCTGTTGGTCAAACCCTGTCCCCTCCCAGAAACACTATGTACCCTTGGCTTTTGACATGGTACAATCCCTCATTTCCCTACTACCTCTCCTCCAATCTGCCATTGAATGATGGAATTTCTCAATACCCACATCTGGATTCTATCTACTCACTCATTAATCTCTCACTAACTAATCTGATTGTGGGAAGAATTGTGGGGACATCAGTGGGAAAAAAAAAAAAGCTCCAGAGAAATCTAAGTAGGCTGACATACAGATTCAGAACCTCTGAAACTACTACTTTTCTTCTGCACTTTACATACATATTTTGACTAGCACTTCCTAATGCAGTTAACACTCCATACATATATTCACAAATAATAAAAATAGATGAACAAATTTGGATGTCATTGAAAAGTTGGAGAAAATCCAAACGTATATGGCTTTTAATTCTAAACAATAATTTCACTGTATTTTTTCTAGTTTCTCCTTAAAAACAATGTTCTATGAAGAAAAACCAGGCAATTGTGAATAAAGGTGATCTGGTAAACCAGATTATGGCATATTGTAAATAAGGTCATCTCCATATTCAAATACGCATGATCAATAGAAAACTAATGTATTTCTTATCATGGAGCCAACTATTTAAAATGAAGATACAGCAGGTATGTGTGGCAGAAGCTGAGAAGGCTGGTGAATTGCTGGGGGCGGGGGGCGGGGTGCAGAATCCACAGCTACAATGTAAAAAAAAAAAAGTAGACAAAGTGAATTGTATCAAGTTTGAAACTCGGGCCTTAAACCCAGATGATCAATTTACATATAACCACTTTGCACGTGCGGAGGAGAGAGAGAGGAGATTTAAGTCACTTGACAAAGTTCCGAACTTTCAGGTTAACTGCAAGGTCAGGGAAGGGTAAGGTGAGTGTCTGCAAACAAAGGCTGATGCTAATCAACGCACCACCCACGCTGTGAAGTCTGAACAAAGGTTATTTCTCCTTTATGCTCTCCCTGCCCATCAACTTCTACAATGTTTATAAGGTTCCCCCGTGCAACAGAAGGCATCTAGAAGGTGAACCGGTACTGGCTGGGGAAGTACATTGGGAATAATAAGCCTCCAAGTCGTGACTGGAGCAAAAGTGGAAAAAATTAGCCATATTTAGCCCGAGCTAAAAGGCGGCGGATCCTGAAACTGCTGGAAAGCCGTTCTGTGAACAGGGGTCCGTGGACTATACATGTGCCCAGGGTCAGAAGTGGGGCTGCCTGGTCTCCAGGAGAAGGAACGAGGTTTCTGCCCAGTACGAGGTGACACTTGCGGCCGCTGTGGGAGAGAGCGGGCTGCCCAGCTCTGGCCGCCGGCGATGGGGGAGGACCGCCCGGAGCCGCCGCTGGAGCTGTCCGGCTCTTTCCACGACGCGCCGGAGATTCCACCCTTCACTTACTTGGCAGCAGAACAGCCTGCGTTACCTTTCTTCTTAGGAAGCCCGGTTGTGGATGAACTGGAGTCGGTGTTCCCACAGGGCCAGCGTCGTCGAATCAAGAGCCAAAAGAGGCACAAAGCCCGTCTTTTTGGATGAACGGGGGGCAAGGGCCGCAGGCTGCGAGGCCAGCCACCCGCCCGGAAGAAACGTGATTCCAGCGCGGGCGCCGGCCCCCGAGCGCCAGTCCGAGTCCCAAAGGAGATCCAGCCGGGCTCTCGGCCCCGCCCGGCACGGCGCTCGGAGACCTCCCTCCCGGCGGACCTGGCTCCGCACGATTCGGCGCGCCGGGCCCGCTGCACCTGCCCGCGGGGCACTCACCACAGGCGCGCGACAGTCTCGCCTCCTCGGGCTCCCAGCCCCCGGGCGCTCCAGGGCCGGGTAGGGAGCGGAGGAACTCGGACGTGGGGGCGGCGCTAGGGCGCGGCGGGACGCTGAGGCGGGATGCAGAACGCGGATTGGCTGAGGCGTCGGCCGCCAGCGCGGACTGGTTGGCTCGGGAGGCGGGGTGGGGGTGGCAGTGAGTGGGGGGGGGGGGGGGGCTGCGCTGGCAGGTGGAGGTGTGTGGCAGCGTTAGTTCGGCCGGCTAGAGGCAGGTTTGAGCCACGGGGTGGGGCGGGGAGACCTGGATAGGCCGGGGATTGGAGATGAAGACTAGGCCCAGGGCTCTAATTAGATATGTGTCCTTGATTTGGGTTGGAGTAGTTGTAGGACAAGGACTGATTTGGAAGAAAGGGCAAACTTGGGGCACTGCGCTTAGGGCAGGGATGGCTGTAGATAGAATAATGTTGGAGGGTGCCTGGCAGAGGGCAAGTCTAAACAGAATATGAAAAGGGATTTGTAGATGTATTCATCGCCTGTGATGGGGGTAAGAAAAAAAGCAGGAATTTACCGGCGCCTGGGTGGCTCAGTCGTTAAGGGGCTGCTTTCAGCTCAGGTCATGATCCCAGGATTCTGGGATCGAGCACCACATGGAGCCCTGCATCGGGCACCCTGCTCAGCGGGAAGCCTGTTCTCCTTCTCCCACTCCCCCTGTTTGTGTTCCCTCTCTAGCTGTCTCTCTGTGTCTAATAAACAAAAGCTTAAGAGAAAAAAAAAAGCAGGAATTTACATCTCTGAATAAAAAACAAAAAAAGAGTTTGATTAGAGAACCGACAAGGAAAGGGAGTGTGACACTGGAGGGAAATACACGACATTTCAAAAAAAGTTAAGAAAAAATCGCCAAGGAGAAAAAGACACCACCAGTCTTAGGTGATGTAGTGCTAGTGAAAGCACTGTTTCTGTTAAGAATCACATTTCACAATTAGACTTTCTTCCTCTCCTATTTTAAGAAGATGGGTGGATAGATGAAGTGAGAGTAACAGCAATATTATTACTTAAGCCTAGAGGAAGGAACAAAGGTAATCTTTGGTTGAAGGAATATACTCTTCAACTAGGTACAAGGGTTCGGGAGACAATTAGGTGAATGGAGAAATAACTGGGTGCTACAGAGACCCTGGCCCTAGATTGTGAATTGTTGTGGAAACCATTCAGTTGTCAATATTTTCCAACAATTTGTCAATACTCTCCTTTTTGCTGGACAATATTGGTGGTCCAGAAGACCACCAAGAACACACCTGTAGTCAGAAAGTTGGGTATATTACTGGTTGCAATGAGGGAGAACACACACCCTGGGGAGCCATGGGTTGGTTATTCCAATAACAGGGCGTTAGAAATGACTTAAAAAATTTTTGCATGTATTAGGTGATTTGGGGGGGAGGATTCAAGGAAAGGGAGATTCATTCTGTTTTGAATCCTGTCAGAAAGTAGAGGCAATTGTAGGATGAGGTATCATATGACATTTTATGTAGAAGGAGGGAGGAAATTGCAAGGGTAACTCCGGAATTGGTAAAGAGGCAACAATTTTGCCAAATGGGAGAGGAGGAAATTTAGTATTTTTGCAGTTTCCATTATTACCTAGTTTTTAAATCTGTGTTTAGGCCAGATTATTAAGTGATCTTGTCTGTTATCTCACTTCATCATGATCACAGAGTGATTTTTTGTCTCATGTTGGTGTTCTGTTAAACTGTTATATTCTGCCAGTTCCTAACAACACTGAAGCCTTAAGAGTGTCAGTTCAGTTCCCAATGTCTGGTGCTGCTTTTCTTTTCCTCACAGTTAACAAATATGAATTGAGTACATAGGTGCTGAGCCTACTTGAAAAAATGAGGCAGAGGAAGTGTGTGTCATAAACCTTACAGAGGGAGAAACACACATAGAGGCGTTAATATATACAGTGACTTCGGATGATGATAAGTGCTATAAAAGAAGCAATGATGGGTGGAGACAGCAGATGATTTAAATAGGATGGTTGGGAATTTCTTTTCTTTTTTGTTAGGGGTGACATTCAATACTGAATTGAATGATGAAGAAGCAACCTTGCAAAAAATGATTCTGGAAAAGAAAATAATAGTGGTAAATGACCTAAAAAGGGAATAAACTTGGCATGCACAAGGAATAAACGAGATCGGTGTGGTTTAAGTATAGCAATCCAGAAGGAAAGTGCTTCTAGATTAGGGTAGAGAAGAAAGCAGGGGCTGTATCATGCAGAACCCTGTAGACCCCAGAAAGGAGTTCAGATTTTATTTTGAAGCAGCCATTGGGAAACCTTTAGCTGAGGAATAATGTAATCTTAATTACATTTTTATAAAAAGATACTCTAGCTGCTTTGGAGAAGAGACTTGGGGGCAGGCAAAAGTTGAAGCAGGAAAACCTCTTAGGAGGTTGCTAAAGTGGGGAGTGATATTGGTTGGGACTAGGGTGGTGGCAGGGGAGGGAAAAAGGGCTACGGATCTCAACATTCATTCCGCTGACATTAAGTTACTGCTCCTATCTCAGCATTGCCCCTCCACCTTCAGGTGTGCTAGGTTTCTCCAAATTCAGACACTCTTTACTCACCATCTTCAGAGTATAAACTGCTAATCTCTTGCTAAGATGAAGAGGGGGCAATTGGCAGGGCTATGTGGACCAAGAATGGGGGTCTGGAGATCTAATCGTTTCCTAGAAAGTCCTTTAAACGATTGTTCTGTGTTTAGTCCTGAACCTTTGGAGAGTCATCTGGGGGTAAATGCAGCTGCCATTTTTACTTTCTTCATGACTGCTCTAGGACTCAACTTATCTGAATCTGCTCTCTACTACCTGTCTGCTAGAAACCCCACTTGCTTTCTAACTTCTCTAATTTTTGTTGCCACTCTCTTTCCTTTTGTTTTTGTTCCCATGGGTTTATGGCTTAAAAGAACCTCCTTACTGTTATTTTGGTGGGCTTACGTAGAGTTAAAACATAAATATCTTAGATTTGCTGTCTCTTGCTATTGTTGTTATCGGTTTACATACAGACTCATTAAATGACTGAATGACCAGGGACGCCTGGGTGGCTCAGTTGGTTAAGCGGCTGCCTTCGGCTCAGGTCATGATCCCAGTGTCCTGGGATCGAGTCCCGCATCGGGCTCCCTGCTCAGCAGGGAGCCTGCTTCTCCCTCTGCCTCTGCCTGCCACTCTGTCTGCCTGTGCTCACTCTCTCTGACAAATAAATAAAATAAATAAAATCTTAAAAAAAAAATGACTGAATGACCAAATGCTGGGGATTCAGATGCTTTGTTCCTACATTAAGCCTCATGTTATTCTTTATACTCATGTTGATGTTTAAGAGAAATCATGTTGATGTTAAAGAGAAATATAGAAATATAAGTGATTCCCTGAAATTAATAGCTCATAGGTGTATTTTCCTTACAGAATAGATAAACTGGAAAGAAGAGCTTAGGAGAAAAAGTGGCACAAAGGTCAGTAGATACAAACAAGTGAGCAGTGAAGTTCAGGTCTTGGGGTCTAGCTGATGACAGAACTTCCAAAATTTCAGCAGAGTTTGTGGGTAGTTGGTATAAAGACTACATTTCACCCTCTGTTGTAGCTGGGTTGGGGGGTAAAACTAAATTCTGGTCACTGGGATATAAATGGAAACTACATGCGCTTCATCCAGGAAAATCTTAAAGGGCTAGCATGCCCTTATTGCTCCCTTGTTTTGCAGTTCCCCTGACAGTCTGTGTGCAGACAAGATGGCTGCAGATCTCTTGGGCTACCAGATGGAATCTGCAAGTTGAAGATGGTGGAGCAATAAATAGAATGAGAGAGAAGGAGCCTGAGCCCATGACATTAGGGAGCCACTATTCCAGCCCCACATCTACTGTATTTAAGTGGGAGAGAAATCAATTTCATTTCTGTTTAACTCTTTCATATGAATTTTCTGACATGCTGTTGTACTGTGACTGTTGATGCGTTCCTGACTTTGCTAGTTTGCTTACCAAAGGCATTCCACTTTACTTTTACATGACCTCCCAGGTGACAATAGAGGAGTAACAGGGAGGAGAACAAGGTGGAAGCAAAGCTCCATTACCTGGAAATGCTTCACAAGTGGTATTAATGCTTTCCAGCTAGATAAATAATAGCTATACAAACATTAGTTTAAGTAATTCAAAAACTGTAGTAGAAATTATACATTTTCCCATGGAAAGCCTGCCTAAGGTAACTATGGATCTATTTATCTGTCTATCCATCTGTCTATCCACACACACATTTGGCTGGATTTATAGCAATGTAGCTATTAGCATTGGTTATTTAAGCCGTTCAGAAAGTCTTCATAGTCTCTTTTACAAGAGAAAATAAATTTTGACTTTACAAATAAATTTGGTAGGAAAAAATTAATGCAAAACATGGGGTTCATATGTAAGATACAATAATATTTGCTTTGGCAAATATTATACCCTTCTAGGCTAGGTGTGCGGCTTCTGGCTAAATAGTGTTAGAAAATGTCCCTACACAAGTGAGTATCATTGTGTTAGAATCTAGTAGAAAATGCTCTTCTCAGGGAGGTGTCATGTGTTTCTTTTTTTTTTTTTCTTAAAGATTGTACTTATTTATTTGACAGATCACAAGTAGACAGAGAGGCAGGCAGAGGGAGAGGGAGAAGCAGGCTCCTTGCTGAGCGGAGAGCCCGATGTGGGGCTCGATCCCAGGACCCTGGGATCATGACCTCAGCTGAAGGCAGAGGCTTTAACGCACTGAGCCACCCAGGCGCCCCAGGTGTCATGTGTTTCTTCTCAATCTACTCTGTCTCTGAAATTCATGGTTCACATTCTTCATGGAGCTCTCAATCTTTCAGAG